ATCCCACAGGAAGTCCAAATTAGAACCAGAGCATACAAACAGGGATGGCAGAGACCCAGAACCAGTTCATCTGTCAAGGATTATAGCCCTGCAAATAGTTTTCTAGACTCAAGTGGCCTACAGACAGTGGCTTGGCAAATTTGCATAGTTTGTCTTATCCCTAAGAGTACTTTCTTTTTGTTAACTGCTTCTGTCTACTGTTTCTCCTCAATTCAAAACTCAGGGACACTTGTCAGTTCCTGAACAACAGCCTGCTCCCTCCGCCCCAGACCCCACCTAACATACACCTTTAAAACGAAGAAGGCAGAGAAAGAAGAGCGCTTCACCTGCCTTTTCATGCCATGCCTTTTGGAATCATTTACAGAACTTGAATGTTTGCAGCCACAGTTTATTTCATACCTAAAGTACTCGTTGCCACTGTGACTTAACCTCTCTTGTCAGGTGTCAGCTGCACGCTCCCCCTCCTCCTTTGATGAAACATCCTAGGCATCCACAGCTTCAGAAGGTCTGAGTGAGACAGCCCACCTGGCTCTAGTTTTCTTTTCCAGTTAGGATGCTGCAGTTACCTACCGTCTGTGCTTGTTACCGAATTCATCTTCTCCATCCTGAAGAATGACACCTGAGGTAGTCCATTGACTTCCACTCATATGCACAGACTGATGCATGTGAGCAGCCACATGCAACAAACAATGTATATATGTGCATACCTCATAGATATCATACAATGGGAAAATGCCATATCCAAAGACTAAGGAAGCTTCAGCACCATCAGTTAAGTCATTTATTCTTGTAGTTAGACTGTGCATAACTCGGGGGGAAAAAGTGGGGTTTTCTCTCTGCCCACAAACCCTTAACATGTATGTCTTAATTGCAGGGTACACTGGCCCTCTAGGCTTGCCTCCACTTAGATTTAATTATAGTCCATGAGTATGGTTTGTTCTTTCATGTATGCTAGGAATACCTGAACTCTAAAGACACATTCCAAACAAGAAAAAGATGGGATACAATGTTAAAGTTCAGATTCTCAGGACCACCAGTCTCATTTCACCAAACCCTTTTCTTCAAATCTAATTTTCCAACTGTGCTGCACATTCTGGCTACATATTGTTCCTTTAATCCATAAATTTAAACTGACACCAGAGTGAGGAGTTTGGGGAAAATTACGAAGATGAAAAAGTCTTGTTGGGGTCAAATTCTGAGTAGCAGCTGGCAAAAGAAACATATTTACTAACAATTATTTCCTTGTTACAGAAGGAAGTTGTTTGCTCTTAGGGAGTCTCTTGACTGTTTTCTTGCAGTGTCACATAACATTGAACCAGTTTACTCTTGACTGCATGTCTGCCTCACCCGAAAGCTTGTAGACCAGCCTCCCTCACCTCTGCTGATCTCAGGCCGAGGAAAGGCATGGTCTGTTTGACCATGGCCAACTGGGAAAGAGACTGCACTCTCCATCTAGAAAATGGATTTTAATTGTTGTTTACATTTCTTGGATAACTTCTCCCCTTTTGTTATGTTTTCTTTTGTGAAATAATTTCTGGAATGCCATTTGAGGAAACTGGCTCACAAGCTGTTTGAAGAAACTTTGACCATGGTACTCACCAGCGGCGCTTTTTCTATGTTCTAAACAGTGGTATGAAACAAAAGGAGCATGTCCCATTGACCCCTGTCTTGCAGTCTTGCAGGATCCCTGTTTTCTAACTAGCAGAGGACCTATGCTTCATCCAGAGACGATGTATTAATATTGACAAATTATAATGTACCCCTGTACATGTGTTCTTTATTTCCACATAAGCCACATCTGATGAAACCACACAAAGAGGTCTTGGTTTAGGACCATTGTTTTATTAATGCTGATAAAAATCATAGGTTATAATTTGAGAATAGGAAGTTACAACAAGACACTAGGGAAATGGCACAGTTGGTGAATACCCACCATGCCAACACAAGAACCTCTGTAAAGAAAGCATCCAGAGCCAGAGCCAGGCAAGTCCCTGAAAATTTCTGGACTGCCAACATAGCCTACTGGGAAAGTTTCAGGCCAATAAAAGACTCCATATCAAACAAACAAAAACAGGAAACCCCAAAATGGATGGCACATGAAAAATGATAGCCAAATGTCTACTCTAAGATCCATATTTGTGTGCACTCTCACCCATATGTGAACCTACACACACACACACACACACACACACACACACACACACACACACACACACACACAATCATGACCCAGCTTTTCCAGTACGTCCACTCTAACTTCTAGAGGCTGAAGCAGTTTAAGGTTAAGGTTAGCTTGAGCTATATAACAAGACCCTGTTTCAGAGAAAAAGAAAATAAAGAGAAGTTGCACACAGTAAATATGAAATCTGTGACAGCAGCACATACAGAAAATATAATGGAAAACATATGAGGAATTAGGGATTTACACAATTCTTAATTGTCTGTCTGAGCTCAATATTTTTAAGCTTAGGCTGTAAACACTTTTCTATCAGATCCTCTATTTCTGAGCAGTTGTGAACAACTCCTTTGTTTATCCTTCTGGCAAGACCAGGCTCTGTCATTATCCTGGGAAATTCCAACATCCCTGGAGCTGGCACATCTGAGTTCTCACCTCACTCCATCCATGCTTCTCACCAGGGCTTTGGACATTGGTCTTAAACATGTTTTCTAGATACCTTACCTCTGCCACACTCAGCATCCTATTATTCATCCATTCTCCTATTTTTAAAATAATGTTCTCACTCCATCTCTTCAGTGAACCTTTCTTTCTTAATATGCATGCTTCCTCTGAAGCAGTAGGTCCAGCCCAGCCCACTCTTAAAGCCAACTTTTGTTGAACGTTCTTTCCAGCCATGCTGAGAATACAAGATGATTTACCTGGACACTCTTTTAGAAGTTGTCATCATCTCCCTTCTGCAATTTCCAAGTCACTGCTCTGGAAATCCTAGCCAGACATACTTTCATAGCCCAGTTTCTCCACCCTGTAGCTGGTGACCCCCTTATATCCTAGTGATTGGAAGTCTTCGTGGGGTCATCCTTTTCACAAGGAAGCTCTGTCTCTATATTGGCTTCTCCAAGCCTTTACTACATTGTTTGTATTTCCTAGTCATTTTCCTTCATATTACTAGTGGTAGTGGCCTGAAGACACATGTGTATTCAAATAATCGATTTCCACATCACAAAATCCAGCCCACGATATGTTCCATCTGATAGTCTCTCTCATCTTCAACTTCTCTCTGAAACACTTTTGGAGAAAAACCATTTCCTCCTGCTGCTCCAGTCTTAATTTTTCTATATCTGATGTCCCTGGTTCCTGTATCTTCACCCTCTTCTCCTCTACCATCCCTCCCTTAGATCTTATAAGCCTCAGAAGTTTCCTCCCTCATCAAAATAAAAAGTAAACCAAATAGTTCAACCTGTATCATTTTCAAGAGTGAGCTTCTTGGCTATCGACTTAAGGTTCTACCCCAACTCTAACCCATTGAAAATTAGTTCTTGTTTGCTTGCTTAATAGCTTCTGGGGGAAAGAGGCAGGACCTCACAGTACAGCCCTGGCTACCTGAAACTATACAGACTCTGGCATGGAAAGAGACTGATTTAACATGAGAATGGCCACGGGACTTCACTTGATACTCTTCTAAACAATTGTCACTTATCCAAACCCTCTTGGGTAATTATAATTCAATCTTTACCCACAGAATCTCCCGCTCAGTGGCAATTGTGGATGGGCCTGATAGTTACTTATAGGCCACAGAAAGCATGTGCCTCATGAAATGGAAGCCCAGAGCTTTGTGATGGTGCAGCTCAGGAATGGAAACCAGATATACTGCTACAGAGCGAGAATCAAAGGGCTTTTGGTGAGATGAATCCAGGGAAGCCAACAGGAGCTAACTCCAGCGTGTCATGACCCTTGTCATTCTGAAGTGTCTAGATTCCATCCCTTTGTCTGTCTGGTAGATTCTGCTAGGCCCTTGGATACACCGAGCACCACTGTTTTATTTTTTGTAGTACATCCCACATCTGCTATGCTGGAATTGCTTTTCTCAGTCAAGACATTAGTGTAGCAGTGTTGCTCTCATCACATTTAGACAAACCAAGTAAAGGAAAGGTGCAAGTGGGGGACAGGTTTCTATATTCAGTTGGTCATGGGTATTCCAGATTTTTGTCACTGTGTCACAACACTAAATTTCTACAAAGTTTATACTTGAGAACTGTGCAAACAGCATAGTAATAATAATAATGATTTAAGTACATTCACTATTTTGTATTGGGCCTCATTCATAGATTTCATGACACTTATATGAGCTGCAGGTTAGGCATGTCTGCAAATAATGTCACAAGAATGTTGTGTGTGGTTCATTGGGATCCCCAAATCTGTTTTCAGCCAGAAGTTGTTCTTAGCATGGACACTGAGATAAAATCACTGGTTTTAGAATACAAACTACTAAGAGTGGAAATCAAGCTGTAGAACAGCAGTGTGCACATCGTAAAAGTCACTGTCCTTATGACACAGCTCTCCTCACAAGGGCACTTCTCGTGATCACAGGAAAAGGGTCGCAGTCACGAAGACAGTCAGTTAGACCACATCAGGCTATCCCCAGCCCTTCTAGACACCTCAGGGTTTATCCTTCACATTGAAGTTGCCTCTATTTAGTTAGCCCCCTTCATGATGAGAAGACAGCAACAAGATAACTCATGCCTTAGAAGTCAGCTTCTTGGTTTCTGCCCTTCTGGGGAAATTATTTCTCTTAAAACCTTATCCTTACAAGATTAATTTCTCAAGAATGTGTTTTCCCGTGCTTTATGGATTCCTGTAACTGAAGAGTGGGCAGGCTTGTTCATTGTCAGTGTGAGTCATTTTGGTGAATGTGCCAATGGCAAAGCCCAACCTTGGTGAACTCTCATGTGACTCCAGTCCAACTGCCCAGATGCTGAGGTGAAGGACAATGTGAAAAACTGTGATGCAGCTGTGTGTGGTGACTCCTGCTTTCTCTCTGCAGCCTGCAGCCTCCCCAGAGGACACCCCTGAGCTCAGCGCCTTCTTGAGAAATGCTACAATTCCTCATCTTGTCAGGAAGAGGGATGTGCCAGTGGTCCAGCTCCACAGACAGAGTCCTGCAAAAATACTGGTGAGTTGTCATCATGTGCACAGGACTGAAGGAAAACATTGGATTAGACAGAATTGCCAGATACAGGTGGTTTTAACTTCAGCTCTTGCTTTCAGTCTCCTTCAGTGCTCAGGCACACCTGACAACTCTGGGCAACAGGGATTGTGAAAAATGAAAGTGGCTCTTTTGTAAAGATTAAGGAGTGTTTGTAATATAACCCTTATAGTCTTCTAAGTCTACCATGGATGGAGACCACTTCTGAGAAATAGAGATGAAAACGAAGTGTGACTGTGAATCCATTCCAAGAACAAAAAAGAACAAGACAGGAGGAAGGGCAGGAATAATGATATTCATGTATGTCAATGTCATATTGAGCCCCATTATTTTTTAAATCTATTTAAAATCATTAAGTTTCAGTTGTTAGCCCACCCAGAGGCACTGAGCTGGGCAGTTAAGATAAGTGAAGAGAGCCCCATCTTACCCAGTGTGTCCTTACAGTGCCACACCTATCCCTGAATCTCATGGAGCTTAGCTTGTCTAAAAGAGGCAAACACTGTGTGCTCAGGGAAGCAGTCACCTTGTGATTCGAATGCACCTCCATGTGTATGGAGGCACTAATAACAAGAACCAAGTGACAATATTCAGCCTAGGTGCTTGTCAACATATGAATGGATAAAAGAAACGTGACACACACGGGCAATGGAGCACTTAAACACCTTGAAGAAGAATGAAATCAAGTCATTTGCAGGCAAATTAATGAAACTAAAGGACATCATATCAAGCAAAATAAACCATACAAAAAGCAAGAATCCTATAGTTTTGTCAATATGGAATACAGAATATAAAAATAAAAGATCACCCGAAATCTCATCATCATTTTAGCAAGCCAGCAGACACACCCAGGGACTTGAGTGCCTACAATCCCAACACTTGGGAGGTAAAGGCAGAGAGAACAGGAGCTCAAGGTCATCTTTATCTACATAGCAAGTACAAGGCTATAAGGACCTATCAAGATATCTACAATTAAAATAATAGAGAGACTACTGGAAAGGGGTTGATGAGATGATAAGGCAGGGGGATAGAGAGGAGTGTAGGAGAGGGTTAGCCAGTAGGCAAGTGAGACCAAAGAGTGATGTCTGCATGTATGAAAAGTCACAGTGAAATCCACCAACATGCGCAGTGAGCATGCATCAACTTTAGAAAAACACGGATAGCAAAAGAAAAAACAGCATCATATTTTTGGAACTCTGTTGCATTGTATTTTATGTATTAGCATAAAATAGAATCTCCTTATAGAAAAATGGTGTGTTCAGATTTTCTGGGCTGAAATATGGGGGTCTTGGCACTGAGGGGCTCTGGAGGGTCTAGCCTGATCTTAGTCGGGACTTTGCAGAACTGTTGGCATGAATCAATATTTTTATGAGGCCCTTACCCACCTGTGATGATTCTAATCTTACCTCCTTGCCTGTATCTCCTCACCTGAATGCTCATCCTCTTCTGACCATGTAGCAAAGGCACAGAGAAAGCATCAACTTTCCATCCATCAGTGTTTCACAGACAACATCCATAAGGACTCAGGAAGAGGTACACTCTCAAGTTCTGCAGAAGTCAGAGACCACCAGACTTCCCATCCTCTTTGCAAGCATACCCAGGGACTTGGGGTAGGACAGGCTGAGAACACTGTGCCTCATATAGATGCTTCTCCCCCCCACTTACTATGAAGATACCCAACTTGATTGGTGTTCATTATCCTGCACTGATTCCAAGTTGAAGCTACAACCTCAAGTTGCCAATCCAAAGTCACAAACAGAAAGGAAAGACGCCTTTGTCAGGAAGCTACAGGACCAAGGAAAGAATGAGGGAAGGATGGAAAAGGTATAACTCTGAACCAAGGAGAGTTCTACAACTGTTTCCACAGGAGCAGCAGTCACTGCACTGGCCAGATGAGGAACAGGGAAAACCCCAAACCCACGCTGTTGGCCTTCTCCCAGAAAGGCAGAATGACTATAACACTTCTTTGGGCAACACAGTGCTCTGACACTCAGTCCTGCTTCCCTGCCAGCCCACCCTATCTAAAATGCACAGATGAGAATATGCATGGTTTTCCCTGTCTTCCTCTGGGTACAGCTCAGTGCCTGGCTCATGGGCTCTGTGACTGTGTAACCAAATGGCTCAGGTACAAATTCACTAAACACTGGTGATAGCTTTTGGAGTCATATCTCAAAAGCCCTTAGAATGCCATTCCACCAACTCCCATTTCTCCACTCTGGCCCTTAATTCTCTTAACTCTCCACCCAATTATTAAAAATCTACTGCACAGATAAGAAGGTAGTTTGAGTGCTGACCAAATCACTAGCCACCACACTCACTGAATTCAAAATACAATGTCCATTCTGGCAATATTCAGTAAACCCCATTGTTCCAGGCAGCCATAAAAGTAATATAATTCAAGATAGGTAAAGGGGGCAGATCTGTGTCCAAGGATTTGACTCTCTGAGTTTAGTATTTGCATAATTGAAAGAGAAGGAATGACAAGTGTTGTTGCTTTTCTCTTTGCTTTGACCAAACACAAAGTGGAGGATTTATTTTAGCTCACAGTTTTAGTGATTTGGTTCATCACGTGGTCTCCTGGCCCTGTATGCTTGGTCAGCACAACACAATAGAAGATTGTGTGGAAAAGAAGTCAAACCAGGAGTTGGAGAATAGAGAACATGTTTTCAGCTTGCCTTCTCCTTTGCCCCTTTTATTCATCTTGGGCCACATGATAGTGCCACCTACCTGCTCAGACTATCTTCCCCTCTCATGAGTAATTCTCTGGAAATTACAAGCATGCCCAGAGGTGTCTCTCACCAATCTCCTAGGAGACTGCAAATTTAGTCAAACTTACAGTAAATGTTAATCATCACAAATTTCAGTTGACAAAATTGAAATTTTGAAAGTTTTATAATTTGCAATTAACAAAATAGAGAGCAGTAGTATTAATGAATGTTAACAACTGTTTGCTCCTAACCCAAGTGGAAAACTCACTGGATATAGATAGCATCCCACTCCTTCAACAAATTGGGTAAGTCCACTTCTTAGTGGAGTGGGCTGTTGGAAAGACCAAATAGAGGAAAGACTCAGGTAAATAGGTGCACAAGCTAGGTCTGGACAACCAAGTGTACCATTAGGTTATTTTCTTTATGAAAAAGATGCATTTAGCATGGAAGAAGCATTTGTTCTGCTCTATAATATGCAGTGCAGGGTATTAAGACCCAGGTGAATCCCTGTCTGCAGACTGTTTCTTCCTGAGTTCTGAGCCCAGATCAGTTCCCCTGGAGGCCACACACAGTCTTGGTTGGTGGTTAGCTGAGATGGAGAAATATGTGAGTTTTGAAGAAGACAAATGAAAAAGCACATAGGGAAATGGGAAAAGCCTGAATTGATTATAATTTTTAAGGCAGACAAAATATGTAAAATCCTGATGATCCTAATTACTTATTTCAGTCCAATAAAGTAGGGCAATGTCATTCCCAATTATAGTACTTACATTCAAGAAACGTGTCCCTAGTAGTAGTCAAGAGCTTCAATAAAGGATGATAGGGTAGCATAGATACAAATCCAAGACATGTATAAATGGACAAAAGACTTAAGGAAGTAAAGTTCTAATTTGAGATGTTAAGCCCTGTGGTTAGATGGTGGTTGTGATTGTACAAATGGCCTGGGCTCCTAAAATGATGAAGGAGGCTTTTGTAACTATGTCTTAGGGCTGGGGAGATAGATAACTCACTCTGAAAAGTGACTTCCTGACAAGCATAAGGACCTGAGTTTGTTCCCTAGAACCCACGTAAAATAGCTGGTGGTATGCATTTGATCTCAGTACTGAGGAGACAGACAGGTCGGATGCCCAGGGCTCACTGGCCAGCCTAGCATCTTTTGCAAGTTTCAGATCAGTGAAAGACACTGTTTCAGCATAGAAGGTGGGCAGTGCCTGAGGAATAACACCTGAGGTGACCTCTGACCTACACATGCATATGCACACATATGTGTGCTTGTGCGCACGCACGCACACACATACACACACACCAGCACACATAGGAACACACACAATTATGTTTTAACTTCTAATATTCACTTATTTCTTCTTAACAGAAAAATTAAAGAATGGAAATGAAAAGTACAAGAGAATTTAACTCTAATGTCATACTCAAGGAAAAAGCACCTGAGATATGAGATAAGCTACAATAATCAGCAGATTTTGATTCAATGGCCTGTACATTTGTAAGACTGTACAATGGCTTCAAAATGGTAGAGTAGGCAATCTTTACTGTCCTTTTAAAAATAAGTTAATAAAGCTGTATATAGCCATTAATAAAACCTGGCATCTATAGAATTCTATTATGTACAGTAAAAGTGGGAAGAGCCCATTGAAAAACCAATCTACACTTCTGAAGAACTAAACATTTGTGAAACAAGATTCAAATTCCTCTTATAATTGTCTACGTTGACCACAAGAGCAATAGAGATCTACAAATGGTATTTTCTTGAAAGTTGTATGCATTTGTGTTGTAGGTCCAAATTCTTTCCTTCTGCTATTTCTCATTAAATATTTTAACATAAATTTCAACCTCTAAGTATCATAGGAACATTTTAATTGCAAATGATTGCCAGAACAGTCATTAGTTTCTGCATCTGATTTCAAACTCATATTACATTCTCCTTTTCTCTTATTGGCTCAAAGACTACAAACCATGCAATAATCCACCCAGGTCCTTGAATCAAGACAACTCAGAGGAGAGGGTGATTATGCAAAGTTTACTCTAAAATCAAAAGCTAAAGAAGACCTCCTACAGCTTTTGTTTTGTTAAAACAAAATACGGAATCCTAGTCCTGATTAGGAATTTGTAAGTGCAAAATGCCAACATCCTGTGCTGGGATCACGATTTCCAGTTTGCATTTATAACAATGTGTATCTCTGACATGGAAACTTGATTCTTTTCCCACCTAAAGCCATCTTTGCCTCCTTCACTCTGGGCCCCTGCTGCTTTTATCATGATTGCCTCCCATTCCAAATTTTCCTCTGTTGTCTTCATTTACTCAACTTACAACTGAGTCCTTCTTCATTTCCTTTCTGCACTTGGTGCTATTGACCGTCTCCTGAAACTATCACAGTCCTTTCCTTGCCTCTCCCTATATGTCCTCCCCAGCTGTTTTCCTACTCTCACTCATCATCGCACCTGCAGGTTTTTATGGACTGCTCGTGAGATTCCATCCCCAGCCTCCTGCCCTCCTCTGTGATAGTCTCTGCTCTTTGGAGTACCTCTTTGATCATATCTCCAGTCCAATTGGGGAAGTCTGTACAGGGCTCGTGGAAAGCAGAGTGTGCACTGTTCATGTGTTCCCATCCTCGGTTATTAATCATCTTTGCCATCACTGTGATCAAAGCTCCTTACAAAGCAAGTTAAAGTGGGAGAGGATTATTGGCACTCAACTTCTGAGAGGTTTCTGCTTGTCTTGGGAAGGTGAAGTAGCAGGAGAAGCTGTGTCTGGGTGTTGGGAGTGCATGGGAGCAAGTCCACATGTATAACCAGAAAGTAGACAGTGCAGGTTGGAACCAAAAGCAAGTATAATCTTAAAAGTGCACCACTAGTGACCTCCACCCAACCAGGTCCCATGTACTAGAGACTCCACCGCCTCCCCCAGACAGTGCCACCTGCTGGATATCAAGTGTTCAAACAAATAAGTTGTGGAAACTGGGATCCAATGAGAAGATATATTTGATAGGTAGAATGTAGTCATCATGAAGATTTCCCACGTTGTGTGCCTTGTATTTAAAGGGTAATCCCTTATAAGATAGATAGATAACTGGTTTAACAACAGCCTAATGCATGGGACTTGTACAAGAGCCAGCTCTACGACCAGGAAGTGATTTGGACAAAAAGAGAGCATTGTAAAACAATTGTTTATCATGTGAAGCAAGGTTATTTCTAATTTACATTTAAAAAGATAAAAAACAATTGTTTATCAATGAGTCACTAACTTTGAGTCTTTGAGGAGACATGGACTCAAGGGCTTCCTCTGCAAAACCTTCCAGGTTTCCCCAGTGTATCTTTCATCTCTAAGAAACATCTTCTCAAGTTCTGAGAAAATAAAAAAGCTCTGGCTGTCACAAGAAGATTGAGCCCTTAGAAATAAGAAGCGTGTATTTAACTGTGTTTTACAACCCATCTTTACCTTGCTATTAACAGGAATCAATGCCCCATCATTGCTAACTGTTCTTTGTCTCGGTTACTTCAATGAATTAGAGCCCTCTCTAAATTAAATGGACTAAATTAGATTTGCAGGCAAGCCAGTATCTTCGGAGGAAAGAAGGCAACTTCAGTGTTGATTCTTTCCTGCCATTCAAGACACTGACGTCCTGCCTCTGCCTTTGCTTTTGCAGAACTGTACAAACATTGAGTGCTTGCAAATCTCTTGTGCAGTGGGACGACTAGGAGGAGGAGAGAGTGCAGTCCTGAAGGTCAGATCAAGACTGTGGGCCCACACGTTCCTCCAGGTAACAATGTCACTGACTGGTACCTTACACACCACTCACCTAGAACCTCCTCCACAGAGATCAGCACCTCTCTGCTCTGTAAGAATTTTTCATTTGCACAAGCCCATCGCATATGTATATGTTATTGTTATTGTGTATGTGTGTGCACATACTAGGGAGGCCAGAGGTCAGCGTTGAGTGGCTTCTTCCATCCTCCTCTGCCTTCCCTTCTGAACCAGTCTGTCACTGAACCCGGAGCTCACCAACACAGCTAAGCCGGCTGGCCACCTCTCCCCACACACTTCCACCTCTGTCACCATGGGTGCTGGGAATCCAGACTCAGGTCCTCATGCTTGCACAGGGAGCAGGTGATTGACTGAGCATCTCCCTAGCCCTAATTTTGCATTTTTAAGATTTTTAATTTTTTGTTTTAAATGTAAAGATTTTCATTTTTAAATTTCAAGAATTTAAATATTCAAAGGAAATTTCTGTAGGAGAGGTGAGCCAAGAGCAACTGTTGAAAACGCTGGACCTCAACTTGCATGTGCACACACAGATACATATGCACACACCACTCTCTCCCCACTGCAAAGCTCAAAGAACTTCCCTGCTCACAGATAGGCAAAGCAGCATGCAATCTTCAGGTTCAAGAGATCCAAACTCACTTGAGACGCTTGCCTGCCTGCAGCCTGTGTTGTAATTACGCTGTCTGAGAGGGGTTTCCAGACCAATATTCCTATTTCACTTCCTGGTCTCCTCCCCCAGCAGATAAAAATAGTTTAACTACCCCAAGTCCCTGAGAATCCAGTGAAAGACTTCTGGATGGTCGGGCAGGGGACAGAGTAGAATCAGTGTGGAGATACAGCTATGCATCCAGAAAACTGAGCAAACAGGACCAACATAGAAAAGAAATAGGAATATTATACTAAAAGTTCTCAGACAGCATTATGGCAGCACAGACTGTAGCCAAGCAACCATCTCAGCAGAGTTTGGATCTTTTGAACCTGAAGATTGCCTGCTGCTTTGCCTGTCTGTGTAGCAGGGAAGTTCCTTGAGCTTTGTGATGGGAAGAGAGTAGTTTGTGTATGTGTATCTACGTGTACACGTACAAGTTGAGGTCCAGCGTCTTCCTGTGTGAGTTCCTCTTTATTTCTTGAGGTGGGATATGTTGCTGAACCCTGATCTCTCAAATTCCAGCTAAGTCTAGTTACTCATCTTGCTATTGGGATCCCTGTCTCTGCCTGTCAAGTGCTGGGATGACAGATGGCCACCACAACTGCCTGGCTTTTACATGTAGACTGTGAATACATGTAGAATATGAATACTTTAAAGATTTCTATCTCCTTACACTGAGAAATGAAAATGAATTAAACAATGCTACTTTCTTCATATCTTATTGTTTGGGGAAATCAATCTAATCTTTCTCATATTCTACCTAGATAGATTCATTTGACTCATGTGACAATGAAAACCAATTTTGTCTACCTGTTACTATAGGATATTGTGTGTCTAGATTTTCATCTTCTCCATTATTGAAAATACTTCAACAATCCAGAGAATCTTCTCTAATTTTTCTTATAAACAAGAGGAAGAAAAATTTTCCACTTTCCATTTATCCTAGCAATTTTGGTAGGTCACTACCATCACAAATGGTACATTGTGGATGTGCCAACTGTAGTCCAAAGAGAGACTAAAGCACTCAATTCTTCAGCTGTCCAGTTTTAAGTCAATGTTCTCCAATACTACCCAACACTGTAGAGGCTAAGGCAGTAGGATGGAATTTTGAGGCCAATGTGGAGTTGGAGAACTGCCTGAACCAAATCACAAAGTCTCTGTGTTCGAAAAACTTGTTTTAAAATCCTGTATCAAAAATTAAAGCCCAATGGTATATAGCTCAGTGAAAGAGCACTTGTCTAGTACATATGGGACAGAGTTCAATCCCCAGCAACAGACGCACACCACACCACACCACATCACACCACACATACAAACCATCAGAAGTCCTAAGCCAATATAGTAGAGATTTAGGTCCTTCTGGGGGCACTGAAGGAAAAGTTACCCTCTGCCTTCCCCTTATTCTTGGCCTCCATTGGTTTGTGAACATGACTCCAACTTTGGTTGCTATATCACCTCACTCATATCTGGTCTTCTTTCTCTGTCTTACTGTGATTGATACCATACTGTGTATAAGGGAATGCGTGTATCTATGCATGTGCATGCATACACATATACAGGACAGAGATATGGAAGCAGATGTCTTCCTTTGTGTCTCTTTTTGTTACCTTTTGAGATAGAGCCCCCTGCCAAATCCAGCACTCACCAACAGGCTAGCCTTCAGGCCAACAACCTCAGAGAATCTGCCTGTCTCTGCCCTCAGCATACCACACAGTGCTAGGATTACAGGTGTGCACAACCACACCTACCTTTTCAACATAGATGCTGGGGATCTGAACTCAGGTCCTCATGCTCATAAGTCAGACATTGTGCCAATTGAACCATCTCCTCCATGCTCTTCTCTGTCTCTATAAGGACACTATCTCTGTCTCTATAAGGATTTATAGTCCACCTGAATTAGTATAATGTCATCTCAAACCTGACCTTAAGTCCACAGAAATCCTTACTCTAAGTAAAGTCATGTAATGAGATTCCATGTGGCCATGTCTGATGAGGAGGACCCTCAATCCACTACTCCTAACAACCTTTGCTAGTCTATTTTGCTACTGTGTACATCTAGTTAATATGCTCTTTAAAATAATTTGTTAACCTTAGTGTTTTGGAAATTAGGGCTTAAGATTTTTATTTTGATTTTTCTTACTGTTCAGTCTGTATCTTTCCCATCAATTCTCCAAAAGTTGTTATTAGAAGTAAGACAATGTATTCTTGGTAAACATTGGCCAAAGTACATCTGAGAACATGTGGGGAAGCCTGTTTATGGATTTCCTAGACAGATTCATGTCTGAAAACTACCTATGAGCCAAATGCTCTGTAAAAAACCAAATCCACACATTAAAAAAAAGTTCTAGGATTGATGTCCCTGATTTAAACTACAATCTGTCCTTACCATCTTGATGGCTATGGGGTCAGGAGGCCCGAGCTCAACTCTATTTTGAACTAGCTGTGTTCAGCTGAGCTTTTGTGGGTCTGAATTCCCTCCTGTATGAGATGAAAGGATTGGAGAAAAGTTTCTTTTCTTTCCTGAAAATTCTGTGATGTATGGGCAGCTCACATGGAGCCTCTCCTAATAAGTTATTTATGATGTTTATTCTACTTAGCTAAAGTCAGCAATAACTCTGGGTGCTTTATTAATGGCCTTCTTTTGTATTGTGTTGACACTTTGGTTGACTCAGAACAGACTTTGTCAAAATGGCTCTTGCTAAACATTAAGGAACAGCCAGCCAAACCTTCCAGCAAGGTCTGCTTGTCTGCACAGAGCCAGGTTTCTGTTGAATGATGACCATGCGTCTAGGCATCAGGATAAATGCTCATGTGTGAATTACTTAATCTTTAAAGCAAACCTGTAGGATACATACGGTTATTATCAACTGCATTTTACAATGGAGCAAACAGAGACATGAAGGTTAAGTGGCCTTTCCAGGGTCACATAGCTGGTAAGAGGAGGAGTCTGGGAGTTTTAGTCCTGCGCACATCACTAGGTTAGAGTGCTGAACCAGAGATCACCACGTGATACTCATCCACTAGAAATTTCATGTCATAATCATCTGACTGCTACCCTGCAATCCTGATAGTGTTGGTTACTCTATGATAACCATAATATGGAGCTTTTTCCTAGAATATATAGGGCCTTAATGTACTAAAGGATCTGTATATTTCACAACATGTTATTTCAAAATCCAGGAAGAAAGACATTGATTGGTTTGAGACAAGAATTCACAGCCCAAGCCGGCCTCCAACTCACAATCCTCCTGCCTCTGCCTCCTGAAAGCTGGGATTACAGTCATGCATCATCATAACTATGGTAAACAAAAGATAATTCTTGGGTTGTATTGCTTAGCAGAGTAGTGATAGCAGCAAACTTTGGATTTGGAACTGCCAAGCATCTTGTTCCTTTTCATTTCCTTAGCCAAAGCAGACTACTAGGGCCCCACATGATGTCAGTCATACCTCATCTGAGGCCCATAACTCTGGTCAAAGCCAGTCACATGTTTTCTATTGCCTTGAGGATATACAGTCAAATTTCTTTCTGTTCTATAGTTGAAATCCACTAAAAAGCAAGTATGTAAACCAAAGGACTTTACAAAATATTCTACACATGTACAGTTTATCTCAGAAAATGCCAAACACAGATCTTTACATAATTAACTCAGTCTATTCATTCCCTTGCCTTGTGAGGGAAATTTCAAAAGCAAAATTTCACATTAAAATGTCGGATGATTTCTTGAAAGGTCTTTTCAAAAAATTAGAACTTTAGATAAGAGAGATACATCATAGACTCTCAAAAGGTAGGTTCAATAATAATTTCATTTCCCTGTATAATTCAGAAAAAACATGACTGTTAGTCTCTTCATAATGAATTGCCATGGTAGACTTTTATAATTTAATTACTTTTCTGACATACATACATGAACATTAATTTCTTCAAAGGCCGAGCCACAACAAAAATTAGGCCACTTTAAATCCTTTCAAATGGCATAAATTTTAAAATTATAATTGGCCTTTTCAAATCAGATTGTACCTTTAATAGATAACACTGATGTCCCTGAAGTCACAGCTTTTCTAGCTGCACTATGTTTCAACTGAAGAGCCAGGAAGGTGACTCTGCCACTTGCAGAGCATAGGTCTGCTACTCTGCCTGTTGGCTATTAGTTCTTATCTGAGAGCTGAAAGAGACATGCCTTAGGAAACTCCCAAAGCCACATGGTCTAAATGAAAAAAAAATGTATATTCCTCCACATACCATCCTGAAACAAGAAAGGAGGACTTTTCAATGAAGCAGGACCTGTCATCATAGCACTGCAACTGAGTAGGGGAGGGATGATTTTCAGCTGCCTGTTTCTGCTCAG